GATTCAATAAAAAAAGAAAATCAGTATGGCAGGTGCAGAAATTCAGACAAACTTCCAAATGATTCCTTGCTTAACAAAAGGTCATAAAATCAGGTGCGACTTACTTAACAACGCCTTGCTTAGCAATGGAAATTGTGCTCCCATGTCAAAGGCTACCAATATATCCTAAAATTAAATACATTTTAAGTTTTTTTTGCTATTTACTATGTGATAAGTCACTCCTATGGAATAAATCCAGAACATACGTTTATAACATCCAGAATATTGTTATAATGAATGCTTATGAAGATGCATCTATTTCAGGTCTATAAGAGTCTTACTGTAGCTATGGGCCAAAATATGACTGACTCATTAGGTCTATACTTAGCCAAATGAAAACAATTCCCATGGTGCACAAATAACTCTGACCTTTCTAACTCTTCTAGTTGTAATTGTTCTTTTTATTTTAAATAACAAAAGGATCCTCTAAGCAGCACTCTGAACATTTGGAAATGAAAATAGTTCACTCTTATGACTACAGGAGCAGTCTGTGAAAAATTCTCTAAACACTTTCACTTACAGGTTCAGCTGTAAGAAACACAAAATGGAACTCATGCGTAACTGAAGGAGTCAAGGCAAGATCTGGAAGACCAAGAATTATCTTTTGCTAGAATTGCCTCAAAATTCTATTTTAAGGGTCATATAAGCCCCCTCCCAAAATAAAAACAACCCTTCCCCCAAAAAAACACAACCCACAAACTATTGCAAATTCTGAGAAGTGGAGTTAACTGACTTTGGACTCCAAACACCATTGCTCATACAATATTGGGACAGTTGTCAGAAGCAAACCTTTTCTCTGATCTCATCCCAAAAGTCATCAACTACTCTATGAAAAAGAAAATTTTGATAAAATTGAAACATTTTGGAAGAAAATTCTTTGGACTAATGGGGAAAAAAATCAGACGGTTTAGGAACATACAAGAGAAAACAAAGGTGACACTTTTGAAGAAAAGAACATTTTGGTAACTGCTAAATATGGAGATTGTTCTATTAAGCTTCACAGTTGTGTGGCAGCAAAGCTGCAAGAAATAGTATGTGGATGGAAGAAATAATGGATTCAAATCAATATCAACATACCCTAGAAGTAATATCCTGCAGTCAATGTAGGAATTAAAGCCGAAAGGAGGTATATTTTAGTAAGATGATCCAAAACACACTTCCAAAATCAATTCTGAAATTGCTAAGGGAAAGAAAGCTGAAGTTATGAACTGGCCTTCTTAGGCACCAGATAGGGGTCAGTACCCACTCCCCAATTTTTCCACACTGTTTGCTAAATTACAACACAGTGCAGGGCAGAATGAAAAGGATAGGATTGTCAGAAAAATACTGAATACTTACAGCTTATATAGTGCCTGTAACATTTTCAAAATGTATCTAAAGAATTATTTCAATAGGTCTTACAATGGCTAACCTGAAAGGAGAAGCTTATATTTCTAACATATTGCAGATGAAAAAGAGAAGGAGAAGGATAATGCTTGTGCTTCTACTTGTTAAAATCCTATATTTGATTAATGGTTGGTGCCATTTGTACCGGAATTTCTTAGCTCAGTGTTTCTCAACCTTGACAACTTTAAGATGGGTGGACTTCAACTCCCAGAATTCCCCAGCCAGCACAGGAAATTCAGTTAACATAATATTGATGCTCTTGCATGCATGCCAGTGTGTGGGTTTCCTTGCTGATTTTAATATTCTGTCACATCACCGGTTTCACCGGTTGTAAGTTCTTGGAAGAAATTATTCTGAAAACAAATTGAATTTTCTCCTTTTTAGAACTTATTCCCTTTGTCACTCTATGGAAGGAAAAATTGGATTTTGAAGAAGTAGGATAAGAACAGTACTGATGCTTTTGAGCTCAGGAGAGAATACCTGATGCTTTTGAGCTCCTGAGAATACTATGGTCAGTCAAGAAAACAAACAAATGGATTATCAAACCAATCAACCAAAGCTATCACTTGAGACACAAATGACCAGTCTCAAATTATCCTGCTTTGGACCTACCTCTATGGAGAAAGCTCTGATACTGAGAAAGATGAAAGGAAAGAGAATGACTAGCAGCAAAGTGTTGCTTACAACAGGGATGGTAAGAAGAACTAAAAGTCCAGGTTAGGGACCGATCACCATGGAGAAAAATCTATGTGGTTGCTAAGGTTCAATTACTTGATAGCATATAATTAAATTAAATTAGTGTGTAATTTGAACCGACAGTAAATAATCAGGAAGCATGAAGCTGAGCAAAGCTTTGACTGGTCACATTAGTACGAGAAACTTCTGAGAATTTTCTAAAGCTTGCCTAACCTTGAAGGGTCCAAATACTAATTGGCAACCTTTAGAATGTAAATTCCATTTAATTTGCTTTTATTAATGCAGTATTTCCTAAAAGGGAAGCTGAATATGAAAATTGAACTATTGTAGTTTATTCTTGAACTTTTTTTTTTTTAAAAAAATTATTGCTTTACTTAATATCCTATTATGCTACATACCATCACACTTCCACCAGTGCATAATCATGCACACTGTTTTGCCTTCCTCAAAGCACACTGGCCACATTTAATACACTTTTAATGCCAGAGTACTTTTACACAGGCAATGAACTGCCTGCTGAAGTTTGTAATCTATGCATTCAAATTGGTTAGGTGGGAATATGCTGCATGATAGGAATTCATGTACTCAATTCCTGAGGAACTTGCAGAGATGGCTTCTGAATTAGATATATTAAAGTGAATATGGGACAGATTTTTATTATTTCTTATATTTTGAACAATTCATTTTAGATAAGCTATAATCTTGTCCAAAGCTATTACGGATGTCTGCGTGTGCCTGCTTTCTTTATAAGGATAAGGAACTGACTTTTTAAAGTATCCAGTGGTTTGAGTGCTATGCCAGCAAATCCTTTAATACTCAGATTCATGTATTGTTATATAAAAAAAGCTTTTTAAGTACTTAAACTTGCTCATGTGGAAAGAAGATTGACACACATCTTAGTTTCATCATACTTTCTCTATTACATGGATTAGCCAGTTTCTATCTATGGCAGTTCTCTTAATCTAATGTACAGTATAACCGTATGCCCATAAAATTTGTAGCCAATACTTCTCATGAAAATCAGTGGTTTAACAGGTGAAAGAACTATAAATCTAACCCTAATAGAATTAGGTCAAAATAGTAATATTTATTCATTTCTGCATGATATGAAAAATAAGAAAATAAGAGTAAGAGTTGGAAGAGACTTTGGAGGTCTTCTAGTCCAATCCTCTGTTCAGGTAGAAAACCCTATACCTTGTGATCAGTGCTGGGTTCCTCCCGGTTCGGCCCGGTTCGGCTGAGCTGGTAGCGGTGACGATATGACATCACCGAACCGGTTCTCTTTGTTCAGGAGCTGGGCCCTCCTGCCCCCCCCCATGTTATTCTTACCTTTTATTTGGCCCTGCCCCCAATCTATTCGCTGCCTCCTGAGTCCCAGCTGATCGGCTAGAAGGAAAAAAACTGTTTAAACTCTTGCCGCGGGCCTTCAAAGGGCCACCTTACAGCTGATCAGTGTTAAAAGGCAGTGTGGTAGTAGACCAGTGCGCTTGAAAAACAAATGGGTAGACCTGTGCCTCCAAAAATAAATGGGTAGACTGGAACGCTCCAAGAACAAATGAGTAGACCGGTACAGCTCTGCAAGCAGTTAAAGGCCTGGTAGATCAGTAGCTCTGCTAAATTCTAAAGAATTGTCACATGACCATCAAACCACGCCCACAAAATAAGCCATGCCCACAGAACCGGTAGTAAAAATTTTTAGAACCCATCCCTGCCTGTGATGGCAAACCTATGGTACACGTGCCAGAGATGGCACGCAGGGCCCTCTCTGATGGCACGCAAGCCATCACCCCAGTTCAGCTCCACTGCGCATGCAAGCGCACCCTCCGCTGGCCAGCTGGTCTTCGGGTCTCTGCTGCGCATACATGGGGGCTGCACATGCATGCAGGGAGCGGCACATACATTGCATTTTGGGGGTTCGGGCATGCGCATTCGCGCGCACCCATGCACTTTGGTCATCCAGTGTGGAAAAGATTAGCCATCACTGTTCTAGAGTCTCAACATCCTTTTTACATTGTGGAAACCAAAATAGAATGCAGTATTCCAAGTGTGATCCTACCAAGGCAATATAGACTGGCATTAAAACTTCATGTGAGCTTGATACTATCCCTCTATTAATGAAGCGTAGGACTGCATTGGCAGCTGCAGCACACTGCTGGCTCATATTTAAGTGATTGTCCACTGGGACTCCAAGACCCCTCTCACAATTACTACAATTGAGTCAGGTATTACCTATACCAGTGATGGCTAACCTTTTTGCCGTCGCGTGCCAAAAGTGGAGGTCGCGTGGGGGGTCGTGGGTGCGTGTGCCCACATCCATAATTCAATATGCCCACCCTCCCGTGCATGTGCACGTGACCCCCCCACACACACACTTCCCCTTTTGGCACGCGATGGCACAGTGGACCCGGGAGGCCCGTTTTTCCACCTCCCCAGGCTCCAGAGGCTTTCTAGGAGTCTGGGGAGGGCAAAAACAGCCTTCCCCATCCTTCCGGAGCCCGGAAACAGCCAGTTTCCCAACTTCCGGTGGGACTGGAAGGCCTGAAAATCAGTTGCCCGGTGCGCGTGTGCACACTGGAGCTGAGTTAGGGCAACACTCGCGTGCCCACCAATATGGCTCTGCGTGCCACCTGTGGCACCCATGCCATAGGTTCACCATCAGACTTATACTATATCTGTGCATTTGGTTTTTCTTGCCTAAATGTAGAACCTTACTTTTTCACCATTTAATTTCATTTTGTTAGGTAATCCTAGTTATGCTACAAGTTCAAGGCAACCACTTACAAGCCCAGATGTTCAAACATGGAGCACAAGTAATGCAGGCTATGCAATTGTTCAGAAGACTTCCCACCTCACAATTAGATCATGACAAACCAAAAAAGTTAATTGTTTATTCCTTTATTGGATAAGGTATATTACAACAGACAAACATATTATACATGCTGTACAAAATATACATTCTGATTACGTGAGAAAATATAAATAGTTACAAGGAAAGAATAGCTATAAGAAAACATTGATTTGCACTGCCCTGGATATTTACAGCTATAATTACTTTGGCATTGGAAAATGTATCAGTAATTTTCTTCCCTGCAAACTGCAAAACAAAACAAAACAAAACAAAAAAAACAACAAAACCCTTTTAAAAAGCACACAAAAGTGAAGTGTTTCAAAATTGCCTAAATTCTAATTCCAGACACAATTCCTCATAGATTTTGCTTTCAACATAGGAGAAAGTATTTGCTTGCTAAGAAGTCATCTCCCCAAAACATAGCTTAGAGAAGCTATATAATGTTTAAATTCTTTGCTCTACAATTTACTTTTAGACATCCTTGTGCTCATAAATATCCTCAATACTTTACTCATTCCAGATTTCCAGTCTGATTGCGGAATCCATCCTAGCCCCAAAGCTGTATGAATTGTTTTACATAAAGTTATGCAGGGAGTCCTTGTATATACAAAGATGAAATGAAGTTCTGGTCTTACATACTTTTCCAGCTTTGGCATCTCAGATTCTCCACAAGCTGTCTCAATTTCCCATAACCTGTTTTCATCACTTAGTGAAGGAAAATTATCTCAAGTGCTAACTTCACATTAGGTAAAAATAGAAATGCTTTAACTATCTGGTAGGTGTGCACCCTGAAGAAGATGCAAAACCAGCAACATGAAATTTTAATGCAGAACTTTCTGTTGCTGAATTATTTTAGCACCTATCAACTTTTTATTCAGATTACAAAAAACAATTCTTGTTTCCTCTCCGAGACACAAAACATGGTTTTAGTGCAGCCTGACTCTTATCCTTCTCAGTGTACCTATATTTTAAAGGGTTTTTAACTGGAACCTTTCTCTTACATAATTCTAAAACTCAACACTTAAAATGATAATAAAGTGCCTCTGTTATCTGGTTAACAGAATGCTTACCCATTTCATCACCTTCCTGGCCATTCTGTACATTCAATGTCTCCCTTTTTACTGCTAAAGTTCAGGTATGGTTCTTACAGACAATAAGGCAGCAAGCATGAAAATTGTAGCTGCGAGCAAGATTAATCAAAAGCTAATTTTTTTGTGGTTCAGTACTTTGAAGCAAACATCTTGGATAAAAGAAGATGATTATTTTGTGCCCTAGAAAGCTGAGCTTTATCTACTTGCTGACAATAATCTGCCTTGACTTTTGTATTTTCAGCACTGCTACAGATCTCAGACAAGAGATCCCTGTAAGATTTGGGACACTGATTTTATGAAGAAATAAACAATATGTAAGTTGGCACTTTCCACTGGTACAAAAACCAAAAGAGCAAGCAACCACTACTTAATGAGTTCATTCTTTCATAGCTTAGTTACCTGGCTGGCTACTTTTTGTAAGTAGGACAAGCCCATTGGGATTCTTAAGTTACAAAGGAATTTTACACAGGAATTTTACTGCTTCCAGCCAGAAATTCTGGCCTTATATAATAAGAGTCTTAACAAAAGCACTAAAATTCCAGCTAGTAAAAAGAGGCCTTTTCCAGTTAAATATTACTCATGAACTTAGTACATATTATTTCCATTAATGGGGATATAGTCACTGATTGATTCATTTATTAAACAATAAACTAACATACAAATAAAGCAAATAAAACCCAGTGCAATATAGCAATAGCAATAGCACTTAGACTTGTATACCGCTTCATAGTGCTTTACAGCCTTTTCTAAGGTGTTTACAGAGTCAACATATTGCCCCCAACAATATGGGTCCTCATTTTACTGATCTTGGAAGAATGGAAGGCTAACTGAACCTTGAGCCGGTGAGAAATGAACTGCTGACAGTTGGCAGTCAGCAGATGTAGCCTGCAAAACTGCATTCTAACCATTGCGCCACCACAACTCAAAACACCAAAAGCTCTCCGGAAAAGCTCAGCCTTCAGTTTTTTTCTAGAAGGCAGCAATTTTGAAGACAAATGAAATATATTTGCCTCAATAACTTTTCATGCCAACATTTTATTATAGAATCATTCAAATGGTTTACAAAACATCTTTTATTGAACTCTGAAAAAAGATACTGCATGAAAACCAGTCTGTGGCTAATTTGCAAATTAGACTACAATCCTATTACTTACTTGAGAGTAAACCTACTGCACTTAATGGGACTTAAATCTGAATAAATATGTATGGGATTATATTGACAGCTATTATTTTTCCTACATTTTGTTGAAATACAAGTGTTTGCCATAGCTGATACAGAGTTTATGAGATGTCTTTTAGCTGCAATCCAGAACTCTGAATTATTATAGCAGGAAAAATTAGCAAGCAGAGTACCTCAAGAATAGCAGATTAGCAAGAACATTATCTCAGTATAAAAAGGAATCTGTAGACTATTGAGGTATACCAGTGATGGCTAACCTTTTTGGCACACTGAGTGTCCAAAGCACATGCACATGCGACCCCCATCTGTGCCCCGTACATGCGCGGCAAAGACCCAAAAGCCAGCTGGCCAGCAGGAGGCGCGCACGCATGCACAGCAGAGCTGAGTTGGGGTGATGGCTCACGTGCCCGCAGAGAGGGCTCTGCGTGCCACCTGTGGCACACGTGCCATAGGTTCGCCATCACGGGTCTATACCTTTTGTTATTCTGACATGATCTTCCTTTACTAGCTGTTCCACTGTTACAATTATAGTGTTGTATAACATTTCATTTTGATGTACAAAACATGTGTCAAATTCCTTCCCAGTCCTGTTGTGTCAAAGGTTTCTTCTATACAGTATTTCTCAATCTTGGCAACTTGGACTTCAATTCCCAGAATTCCTCAACCAGCTTTGGGGAATATGGGAAAGCCAGCAGCGCTGGCTGGGGAATCCTGGGACTTGAAATCCACTCATCTTAAAATTGCCAAGATTGAGAAACACTATTCTTTGACTAACCATTGATGTTCAATTTATTTAATTCTTCACATCTTACACACTCATTGTTTAATTTCTCAGCCATGGGTGTGAACAGAGGTAATCCGTTTAATTTTTCTAAGCTTGAAAAAAGTAAAATCATTTCAGCATCCATGAAATTTTAAAAATGACTTCACATTAAAATAGTTCAGATATCCAATAATACATCAACTTAACCATCGCTCACATCATATATATCTTTTCCTGTATTAAAAACCAAGGGTGATTCACAAGAAATTCTCCTTATACACAATCTTCCATTCATCAATTACTGCCCATACATAAAACTAGAAAGTGGAAGTGCCACCAAAGAATGAAAGTCTCCAGTTAATGGCACAACATTTGATAACTCCAATCATGGAGTGCAAAAAAAATTAATTATGAACCATCCCATCTGCATCATTCTTAGTAAACATTAATTTCTGATTTCTGGGAAAACAAGTCAGAGAAGTCAGAATGATGTGATATTTGGCATAATTTTTTTAAAAAACTTACATTTCAGTCTCTCATCTCTATTAGTGTATACAAAATATTTATATTATGTGTATATATTTACATCTGAATACTTCAGAGAGAGAAAAAGTAAATAGAGTTTGTGATTGGACATACTGAGGTTCTCCTAGTTGTCAGATGGATAAAAAAAACACAAAACAAAGCAAAGTTTCGTATTGATGAATACCAAGGAATCTTGCTAAGTGGCTCTTTTAAAGTTATTTTTTTTTCAGCAGGAAAGATAGCATATGTGAACCATTCTTGGGAATGTTTCTAAGACAACAGACACTTTTTAATCACACTTCCACCACTGTGTTGCATCTTCTTTTTTTCACCATCCGTTTAAGTCTGAGCTTTAATATATGCTACTTATTGGAAAATAGCAGAAGGAAGTGAGTTTGCCCTCCAGCATGCAGTCAGTGGTCTGTTCCATTAAAGCCTCTGTTGGAAGCATGAAACTTTTTTTGCCATGAGTCAAAATATGAGGTAGCAAAAATACTAACAAATGCTTCAAGCTGCTAATGTTTCTTATTTCATTTTTATGTAGCTTCACGATGTTCTTGCACGTCCTGAGTCCTGTTAAAATCAAAGTTGTATTGATGTAATCTGTGATGAAGCCTAGGAGGAATAATCTGCTCTGGCTCTTTCTCTGAGATGCCTTCATTTCGCAGAACCTCTGGCACCTCATGGGTCTTAGATGGAGATGAACAATGAGGGTGTAACAACCCCAGATCATTATTGATACCCCATAAAGACTGTTGAAAAAGATCTGTGGAAGGAAAAGTTAGAAATTTGAATTTGTAAACAACCTCAGCACTAAGATTCTCAACAAACCCCAATTTCATCTATAACAATACATTGAAATCATATATTCACTATTTTTCTATGTTTAGGGATAACTTTGTACATTTTATAAAAAGCTATATATTCAGATATATCTACAAAAACATAAGGTAACCAAAGTCTATTCCAAATTAATACACTTCTTAAGAAGCACATATATTTAACAATATTTATAGAACAATCTTGGCTTCAGTGTTATTAAGGTAACTTTACTAGACCTTTTTTAGTCAAATTTCTATTTTATTTCTTGCAATAAATGCTACAAGGCATATTTGGAAGGTATTGTGTAATTCTCATTCTTATTCACATGTGAGTTTACACTGTGGGATAGTCCCAGTTTGAAAACTGGAGCTTAATCTTTTTTAATTGGGAGGGGGCAGATTCAATGAGCTAATGATATTAATTTCTGATTGATCTAGGCATAAAAAATATTGAAAGAATATCTCAGGTTGTCTAAAACTATGGAGTAGCAACATATTAAATTAAAATATCTTTTAACTTCCCTATTTGGTAATTTTTTTAAAGGATGACTGGTATTTGCAAGAAAGTCGGACAAAAAAATGGAATATATCAGATTTAAAAATGAATTATTTAAGCTTTATGAGCTTAACATGAAAACAAACCAAAATTTTCATGTTTATTGACTTCAGAAAACGTTTTAAAAGGTATGGCCATTGACTTCATTATGTTGGAAAGTAAACATATGTTTTCCTATTTTGCTTAATATCCATTGTTAATATGATTTTAGGAAATAACAAGATGGTTATTAAGTGATTTTAAATTATATACCAACTATTTCAAATACATTATATATAGAACAATGGAGTTATCAACTATGGGGTACAACCAAAAATATTTACTCTTTTACAATGGCAGGATAGAACCATCCTAGATTTACAATCTTGGATTGATGAAATGTATTCATTGACTTCTTATGAACTGGCTCTCTAGAGATATAATGGAAAACTAATTAATATTGTTCCGTATGGTCATAGTTAAATGTTACGTTTAAAAGCAGTTGTCTTCTATATAGATACATATATTATGTTTTTACCTTTTTCATTGTTTTCTTTTTGTATCTTTTTTGTTTCTTTTTATACAGGAAATAAATAAATAAAAATATACTTATGGAAATATGAAAGACAATGTTTAAATAACTTATACTTTTGGCTTCATAAATAAATTACATGTAGATATATTTTGAATAATGGATCTTGGAGATTGGAGATCAACAATAAGAGTACATTCTGAGAGCCACTTAGATCTAGTGGTTAAAGCAACAAGCTAGAAATTGGGAGACCATGAATTCGAGTTCCACCTTAAGCATGAAAACCAGTTGGGTGATTTCAGGCCAATAACTCCCTTAACTAAACCCATCTCACAGCTTTGTTGTAGCAAGAAGAGGGAGGGAGTACTAAATATGTTCAATGCCTTGAATTATTTATAAAAATAATAAAGGGGAGATAAAAATAAATAAAAAACAAAATTCTGATAAAGGCAGATTCACAGTGTGTATTTTGCAATGTAGCTATTAAGTATTTTGCAAGAGCCAATTCATTATTTAGGTGAAAATGAAATCATTTAAATTTCAACCAAAAAAAGCAGGGCGGGGGGCACTTACCACTGCCACAGGACTGAGAACATGGTTTCCTCTCATGTAGCCTGTCTTGAGTGCTAACAAACACAGCCCTATCTTGGCCATCTGAAAGGCTATTAATAGTTGTGGTTTCATGCTGAGGGCATCCAGGATAGGGCTCTTTAGACATCTGTACCATTAGGCTGGACAGTGATTGATCCAGTGGATCATCTTCAGTGTTGTATGTATAAGGACAGTACTCCCTGTTTCGGGAATAGATATTGGCATTGTCGTAACAATCTGAGCAGATCACCAATGGCTCTGTGCCACCTAATGAAAAAATAACAATGACAAGTTGGAAAACTCTGGCATGATCGCTTCCACTAGGAAAACAAGTGACAAACACTTTACTATCTATGGGAAAACCTTTGAGGATATGGAGTTTTGCAAACAAAAGCCAGAAGAAATAGAATCATACATTTGGAAGGGACTTCAGAAGTAATTTAGTCCAATAATTCAACCCCTGCTCAGTGCAGGAGCGGCTTGCTCATAATGAGCATTTAACGAGTCTAACAGCAGGAGGGTTGGGGAGGGAGAAGAACCCAATTCCAGCATTCTCTCTGTCATCTGAATTAAAAGGGGGAACTAGCAAGCCCTTGTCAATTTATTCCAGGCCTTGCCCTCAGGCTTAAGAGATGCTTTCTCCCAGCACTTGGCTTTATAGGTGCTATTAGGAGAGCTTCAATTAGTTAAAAGTAGGATTGGATGTTAGTCCAAGAAAACTGGAAGGCACAACTTGGAAATAAGAGGAGAGAGAAGGAATTGTTTCTCTACCTACTCTCCCCCATTTCGTGACTGTAAGGAATTGGTTCTGGGTTTGCTTGCTTCTTTGCTGGACTTGTTCATACAAATGCAATTTTCCCTTCTCTGCCTCTTCTCCCTCTAGCCTTCTCTTTCACCAAACAATCCTAGGTTCCTGATTTTAAATCATTTCTATGTAGTATTTTTTTTTTCTATGTAGTATCTAGTATTTTTTTTAAAAAAAGAAAGCACATATACAAAGAAAAAAAACCCAACCAATGGACTCATTTTTTAAAAGCTTCGTTCTGTCATTAGTCCTGCAGCGATGACGAAATGATTGTGGAGGGTAGAGCAAATGATATCTAAGCTGATGAAAGGAGTGCATCAATAAAGAAAACATTTTCACACCTGACACCCAGTGGGTTCACCTACCCGTGTTGCAAACTCAGAAGTAGCCCTCAACTAACATCCATTCATTTAGTGACTATTTGAAGTTACAACAGCACTGAAAAAAGATACCGTTTTTCACACGTTTTATAAACGTTGCAGCATCCCTATAGTCATGTGATCAAAATTTGGATGCTTGGCAACTGGTTCATATTTATGGTAACTGCAGTGTCCCGGGATCATGTGATTCCCTTTTGCAACTTTCTTACAAGCAAAGTCAATGGAGAAGCCAGATTCACTTAACAACCGTCTTAGTATCTTAACTGCAGTGAGTCAGTTAACAACTGTGGCAAGCAAGGTCACAAAATAGGGCAAAATTCATTTAACTATAGGTAGTCAAGGACTACTTATAGTATGTGCTACATAAGAGATTAATTATGTATTTAATCTTGCTTTGATCAATTGTAATTCAGTTCACATTCTTTGAAAAATCTCAACAATCAAGCATTTGGTGGGTCACAGTAAATTGGCTGTGGAAAATAATCTAATTTTTACTTAAGAATAAGACACATAGGACTTACCATCTGGGCCTTTGTGTAGGTAACTATTGGAGGGAGGCATAAGTTGCTGATTGCTTCCTGCCTCAGAATTACTGTAGCCTTCCTGTGGCTCTGACAGAGTCCCTTGAGAAGATAAGTAGCTAGGAATATCAGGAGGCAAATTTACCTCTTCTGAAAAAGGGGGGAAAATCCAATAGTTAACCATTATATTTTCAATATGGCATTAGACTATCTAGCAACTAGGTATCTATTATTATGGCTAGAAGAATAAAATTTCTTGAAAGCAATTTCATTTATTCTTTTCTAATGCTAATTTACCTCCATTTATTAAACTATAAAAAATTAATAGTTTTCATACTTAATTCCACACTATAACACTATTTTTTCTGAAGATATGACAAAATGTAATTTTTGAAAAATGCTATGCAATAAACTCAAACACTGCAAGCTTATCACAAACAACAGGGACAAATTTGTGCATATTTATTTATAGCTTTCTTAATTTTCAATATTTTAACTTTATATATAATCCCTCCTAGAGGCTGTACATATGATAATGAAAGGCTCTGGCATTACCTCTCTGACAGACATTTGATAGTTCATGAAAAAGGTATTTCTGGATGTGCCAACAGATGTCTACTGAGCCACTTTAGATGGAATAACTCAATTCCTTTTACCAATTGTCATGCTAACTATGAAATGAATAAGATTAAATTTTCAGTTTTCCCACCTGTGTTAGTGATGCTATAATCTTCACTTTTTCTTCTCATGTGATAGATAACAATAACCCAAACGAGAGAGGTGCCTACGACACAGCAGACCACAACAATGATCACAATCCCAACTGTCGTCCAGCCATCGTCTCCAATTCCAATGCCACTTTGGGAGGAGTCACAGTTGGGTGAGGATAAAACATATAGATAAATATGGCCACGCACTGTCCCAAGTGTATTAGACATAATGCAAGTATATTTTCCAGCATCCTCTAATCCCGCATCTACTATGATGAGCAGTTGATTGGCAGCCGCAAAGAAATGCCGTTCTGTCACTGTCAGAGGGCCATCATCTTTGGTCCAGTTTAGGCGAGGGGCAGGGCTGCCACTAGCAATGCATTGCAGAACTGCTGTTTCACCTTGAGCTACAGTCCTGTCTTCCAGAGGCCTAACAAATGAAGGTGTTTCTGGAAAAACAAACATGATACTTAAAATATGTGCAAACACACAGACTAAATGGCATCAAAATATCTTCACACCAGGGATTCATGGGAAAAATATTGCCATAAATATTTGGAGATGTTCAATTTGATTTTGGGATTAGATCACATTTAAATTCAAACCAAATTAACAGTATTGTTTTTCATTGCTTAAACCTAAGGTCAGCATTTTCTGATACCGCACTACGTCGGTATTATTTTTTAATAATTTTATATAAAGCTGTCATGACGGTTAACCATCAATCCTAACATTCCTCTCTTCCAAAAGTGCCCAAGACCTAACACACAATAACTGATTTTAACTTTCTCAGAGGGAAAACAGCTTCTGAGCTTATACCTGTAGAGACAAACCACCTGAAATATATCCAAGTATGAAAATGACTCATGTAGCTTTAAGTCTGCTTACCTAACACAGTCAATGTTACATTTGCTGATATACTGCCAGCCACATTTTGTGCCATACAACTATAAATCCCCATATCTTCAATTTTCACATTTACTATGAAGAAGACATCATCTTCGGGCATCACGTGCATGCGCCTTTCACGAGCTGCAGGGAAATCTGTGCCGCCATCTTTTTGCCAGGATATCTGGGGTGGTGGATGGCCTTCTGCAGCACATTCCAATTTAGCCATGGCTCTAGTACGTACTGTCAAATCCATGGGAGTTTTCACAAAAGAAGGCAGCTCTGAATGAAAATGCAATAGAATTAATATGGGAATTTTCCTTATACAGAACATACAGAATCCACAAATCTCCCCTTATTAAAAGCTTTAAACATTTTTTTAAACTTAGATTTATACCAAATATTTGGGAAATTATCTGGATTTTAGGAGAGAAAAAATAAAAATTATCCTCAAATCCAGTTTCTGACTCAAAAGATAGTTGTTTGTCCACTAAAAAACAAAAGCAAACCCACAACCATCACAAACTAGGATTAATCAATCTGGCCTTGTTTCAAGATCTAATTTACTCCCAAGGTTTAATAATGATTTGGAGGGGCAAACAAAAAAATAAAATGATTTTCAGTTTCTCTGGAACAACCCATGTTGTCTTCACTTTTTAAAAATCTTTTCATCCTTCAAGGTTAAGAAAGTAAGTAATTTCATTACAGTAAACACAATAACACATCCTCAGTCTGGACAACCTTACTGGAATGATGTGATTTAGTACATTAAGAATTAAAGGACAAATGTTTTCCATATAACTTACTGGCCTCATCCTTTACATCAGATGAATGACTGTCCAAAAGTATTTGGGTACCTGAATGCTGGCATTGCAGGGAAACTGGGTGTATTCTATCTCCAGATGGGAGAAAATTTTAAAATAAAAAAAGCCAATTCACAGAAATTGGACTGAACCAGCCAAGAAGTAAGTTATATGGAAAACATGTATTTCTTAATGTACTAAATCTCATCATTCCAGGCATGTCTTGACATTATCCATGCTGCTTGCATAATTCCTGTTACCACTGTGGTTGTTACCTTGTTACTTGTTGGCACCACTCTACTCCTCCTCCAGCAATTGCACCTGGAAGACTCTTCTGCACAAAGCAGAGACTGCTGCTCTCACTCTTTCTTCCACAATCTCTTTCTAATGCTTCTGCTACCACTAATTCCTCAAGTTACAGCTCTCCTGACTCTAATACAGTAAATATATCAGACAAGAAGCTATAGAAAAACACAAAAGCTGCTGTTGCTGCAGTTGCCCCAGCCATCTCCACCCATGGAACTGCTGTGGCTGCCTCTTCCTCTTGCTCAGTTTGGTCTTCACGGGAACATTGAGCCAAGAAGCAAGCTGGCTGTTGTCTAATTTAGTTAACACAGGTTAAACTGTAACATGGCTTATTTGTTTTGGACTTTGTATGTTATGCAAACTTATCTGTTATGGCTTTTCCCCTAAATCACAGTTAAAAATCCTTAGTATTTATATTTATATTGATTTTTGTTTTCCTCTTTTAAAAAAAAAAATGAAAAAAATGGTCCTTTTGCCTAATCTCTATGTAAGAAGTCTTTCATAACTTTTCAGCACCAGCTAATTTTTTTTAACTACTATTTTAGGGAGGAACTGAAAAGGGAAAGACTGTTGGCACACATTTGGAAGCTAAACAAACTCTGCAAATCTTTTTTTTTTTTCCTGATGAGACCACGGAAGTGATCTGTTGGGGTTGTATCACATACCAGTGAAACTATAGTCAAAGGATATGTAAACACATATTTATTTCTCTTAGATGTCTCTTCTCCCCACACAGCACTACCTGGGAAAAGCGAGATCACTTTTGCCAGAGACCTAAATTGCTTACTTGCAATGAACTATTGGAATTACATGAAAGACAAAGGCTCTCAATCCCTCTTTTGTACAGATTAATTTCAATTTCACATCATTAATTTTTTTTTCTTCTTAAAACAAAGCAAAACAAAAGCCACACTTCTGCATACCATTGATAGTCAACTTGGCCTTGTTGGAATAATTGGACCCAAAGTGATTGAAGATGATACACTGGTATTTTCCTTCATCAGTAAAGTTCACATTGAAAACATGCAGGATAGAAGTATATTCCAGGATTTCACCATCTTGTTGTTGGTACCTGACATAATTTTCTATATCTGCATCATATAATATTTCACTGTCCTTTCTCCAGGCAGCAGATATAGGTAAATCACTGCTGCTCACGGCCTTGCAAGTGAGGGTCACATTGATTCCTCTAAGTGCAACTGTAGTCTCAGGATGTGTTCTAATCTGTGGCTTGGGAAAGTCATCTACGAAAAACAAATAAAAATTAGCTACATGTGCTTTTCAAAAGGGAAACGCAGTAAATACTGATATATATTTTAATGTAATTCGTCAGAAGTGAGTAGGTGGGCATGAAGCTTTGAAACCAGATGGATATGTGTAACATATCATTGTTACACTACAATGATAGCAAGAGTTACATTATAAGACAACCCAGGCATTTTCAGAAGGTCTCTCATTTCTCATCATATGCTCAAAGGGTTTAAAAACACTTTTTAGTCCATATTTGACAAGGAAACATCTTGCGGCACTAATCTGTATCTTTTTTACTGCTCCAGATTTTATTCATTAAGAATCTGAATAATCTATTTTGAAAAATCCATATTGTCCTTGGCAATATAATATACGCTTATTTTCCATTGGCAAGGAAAGTATGTAGACAACTATTTAAAAGCTGTTAGAAGGAACAAACATGAAGACAAGGGGTTGGCTGCTACAAAGTGCCCATCTTCAAAGCTAACACTATACTGTACATTGCTAATGTAATATAAAACTTGCCATAAAAACTTTAGCCAAAAAGTTGCACGTAGCCCATTAAGATTCTTCCGTAGCTCCCAGAGCTTCCTCACAATTAATGGGAACAAGAAATTGGGCACGTTTAAATGCTTAAGTCCTGCAGATTTTTAAAATATTCATTTCATCCATTAGAAAAATGTTTTTCAATCTTGGCAATTTTATATATTCTGTTATCCTGGGAATCAAAGTTCACACTTCTTGTTGCCATGTTTGAAAAACATTGCCTTAGAATCTCTATTTCACCCTGTCAAGTTTACTTTTAGAGACCTTAATATCCCATGCAAGGCCAGGCATGATTCATAAACCAATGGAAGTTACTCCTAAAAAATATTAATAATATTGCTTTGAAAAGAAAGAGAATGCTGAAGTATTAAGGCCATTGTACTTATCATTTTTCTCTATCATTTAAACTTTCCCTTAACATCCAGGTTGACTTATTTGACGATCTGGCTCTGGTGAAGTTTGTTTACTGAACAAACTAGAAAAAAATGTTCCAGACAACTTCTGAAATCTGAGTCTAGGGTTTCTAAGCCAACATTTGGGCTAGTCATATATGTGCTTAACATATATGTGAAAAATCATGACAATTCACATAAGCCAGATGGGTAAGTTAGTGAAGTCATATTTTTCTTCCTAATTCATACATGCAACCATTTTTCAGGACAGAAATTATCAGTAGGTTCATCATAAGATGACATTATTTTATTTTTAAAAAAGATAAGAAGACACAAACCACAAACAAAGTCTTCAGTGTTCACACTGAGAATGCTCCTTCCAACTAGCCATTCGGGATGAGCACAAACGACATTGACAGTGTCCTGTAAACGGCTGTGGAAAAGCCAGTGTGGGAGCCATTTCAACTGGCAGTCACACAATAAGCTGCTAGTGTTCAACAACCTGAAAACATAAGGCGCAAGGAAAATGCTGTAAGGTAAAGAAATAACAGCTTGCTTACAGTTACAGGGCATGATTCTTTTCCTTGCTTATTCCTACTAAAAATATTTGAAAATTGTAATTAACATTTCAATATTATATGCTTCATTTTCCTAAAATGTATCATAGATGTAACACCTTCAATATTTTACATTCCTATCAACCAACTCACATGCACAGAGCTAATACCTAATGAGAGAGAATTGTATTTCTAAATATAATCATAATTTAATCATAATTATGATTACAATGTTATTAGAAATAGTAAATCATTACAAAAATAAATAACTAGATTAAACAATCTGCACTAATTTCAAGAGGCTGTAAAGAAAATCTTGTGAAGGAAGTAAACTATCTTATTAAAGCTATATTCATATCAGATTTTTTAAAGTAAACATAATAGCAATACATAGCAAAAAAGTGTGATTCCATATTTATTTTTCTGCAAATGCAATTTGTAAAGACTGAATATTGACTATAGCCTTTAAGCTTAATTTAGTTAGTAATGCACTTTAGGATAGCACTGGTTTGAAACACTGGTTGATGGATTTCAAAATTTTTTACTACTGGTTCTATGAGTGTGGCTTGGTGGGCGTGGCATGGCTTGGTGGGTGTGACTGGGGAAGGATACTGTAAAATCTCCATTCCCTCCCCAATCCAGGGGAAGGTTACTGCAAAATCCCCATTTCCTCTTGATCAGCTGGCACTTGGGAGGCAGAGAATAGATGGGGGCGGGGCCAGTCAGAGGTAGTATTTACCGGTTCTCCACAACTGGCCAGAACCTGCTGAAACCCACCTCTGGTTTGAAATACTAAAATGTAGTATGATGTCATTTGATTTAGCATATCATGACCATAGTGCCAGAACCAAGGCACTATGTCTTGGCTTTAAAAAAATCATCCAACAAAATATAATGAAAGAGAGACAGTCTGAATATATACCATATATATTCTTTCTTAAACACAACCTTGTATATAGCTGGTAAAACAATACATTGGATCCTTTGATGTCTATATGCTGCTGATCTTGATCTGTTTTTATTCTTCAATAGTCATTACAGCTGTTATCTGAAATGTTTAATGCATTCTGCATTTTACTTTTCAGTATTTTTAATATATTGCCTAACTTAAGAAAAGTTTTGCCTGTGAAGTAAGGATTCCCTTTGTCATAGAGAAGATAATTCAAAAGTAGTTTAACTAACCAAATTATTGCTGTAATCAGAAAAAAAAATCCATATCAATTAAAAAGTGTGTTACAAATACAAGTTCATTTCAGTGCAACTAATTTATTAATATTTAATTAATTAACATTTTTCTACATTAGATACTTACAATTCTTTAAGAAGAGGCTGGGAAAAACCACCTTCTTCAATAGATACTATAGCATTGTTGGTCAGATCCCTACAAAATTAAACAAAAACCATGTATTAGTAAATTTGTTTCATGATTGAATTTTTAAAACTGGGTTATATTCTACAGAAAAACAGATTGTCCCGTTCCCCCCCCCCCCAAATAAACAGCATAAGATATACTTACAGATATTCAAGGGTCTGAAGATCAGAAAGTGCTTTTTTTGTAATTGACTTAATTTGGTTTCCCTGAAGAATCCTTTGGGGGAAAAATAGCAAAAATATTTATACTGAAGCAAGACAAATACTGGTGTAAAAAAAAATAATTCAAGGCCTTTGATAACTTATATTCTCTGCCTTTTGTAGCAACATGACTAAGATAACCAATTATCACCAAAAAAATAAACAAAGTGAAAAGTATGTGAATTCTAATTTATTTTAATAAAAAAATAATTTGCAAAAACACATGCAACATTTTAAGCAGACCACACGATGGCGCCAGTCTGCTACAATTTGCAAGTTGTGACAGGATGTAGAAGAGCGAGTGCTACTACATTAGATTTCATCTCGAAGTTGGTAAAGAAAAAAAGGAATAGTAAGCGTAAGGTTTCATAGAATACCCAACCTGTACAGAGACAATAAGTCTTATGAAATACCACACACAGAAAAAAATAAAGATTAAAACTCTTAACAGTTTTTATTTCAACTTGTTAGGTATTCCTTAGAGACAGAGTGATTACTGAGGCTAAAGTCCTCTACTTGTTCTCACATTTTTTTTAGCTTCTTGTAGATTCTAACCTTTAATTGGAGACTCAGGAGAACAGTATTCGTTCTCTCCTTTTGCTAACTTGGCATCAGTTTCTGCCTTTGTTGTAAAAGAACCAAAACATTTCTTTTTTTTAATTGAGAGGATGGGGGGAGGGAATCTCACTCTGCATGTGACTCAGAGCAGATATTGCTCTTTTGTGACTGCATAAGGTATATGGCTGATTTTAAGAAAAACTTAATAAAGCAACAAATCCCAACAAGAAACTCCTCTCCAAAATATATTCTTACTAGATAGCAACTATATGACTTATAATTGATTCTTATCTATCAATGAAGCCGCACTAAAACTCTTTTCCTTTATAATGTGAGGGTCAAAAGAAGAATCGGTATACATATGGCTACAAAAGTTTTATTTAAAAAGAAAAAACATACAGTCTTGCTGTACATTTCCTTGGGCAGACCTCTATAGCTTTTCCAAGTTAGCTTTCATGTAGTGCTAAACCATAATGTAATCTACTTTTTCTATCTTATTATATATGAATGAATACAGTAAATAAAACAATTTTATAGCAATAAACATGGTTAACATAAAAACATATTATGGTTTGTAGTTATTTTACCAAATGCAACTATTTAGTATAATGTATCCATGGAAGATATGATTAATTTTTATTTCTGACTTACTACTTTTTGAATGTATTAGTTTGCCCTACCCTCTAACCCAGTGCTTCTCACCCTTGGCAACTCTATGGGCTTCAATTCCCAGAATTCCCCAGTGAGCACATGAGATACACTTCTCTAATCCATAGCAGAATATTTAAACAAGACGAATCTGGAACAAAATCTGATCCAACAAATAATGTTTCCTTCCCTTGCTTGTAATACTGCTTCTAGCAGCACTTTGGATTTTTAAGAAAAGTTCCCAAAACAAATTATACTTTAACTTATTGGCTGGAATGGACGTATTTACCTATGATTTACTCAATAAACCATAACTATGTCCACACAGTATGCCAAGCTAAACTGGGGTTTACAACCACATTTTTGCGATGTCATCATCATTCATTTTAGACATTGTCTATCCATTGGAGGATGAAGGTCTCCTTCCATATGTTTGCAACAATTTGGTCCTAAGCTTTCTTTTGCCAATTGGGCCTGCAATATTTGCTGATATTGTCTATCCATATGTTACAAATAAAGCCCTGTCTTCTTGAAAGCATAAATTTTTAGGATAGTATTTTTAATAAACTGAATTGAGAATCTTTTTATATCACATTCATAAAACCTGACATGCTCAACTATTTTTAATACTCTAGTATCAGATCTAAATTTTAAATGATGTGAAGGTTTCTAAAAATATCAATAAAACAAACTGTCCCATACTCTGAAGGTTTCACTTTTAAATCAATCAATTCTACAACTTTTAAAACTTACAGTTTATTAAGTCTCTCAAGACCTGTAAATGCTTCATTTGCATCTTCTATGGCCCAGGAGATCTCATTATTCCGTAGATCTCTAAAAATATAAATAAACATTCCAAATAAACATTTGACAAGCAAAGCAAAGCAAAACAAAACCCATTCTTCTAACCCCAATTACTCCTCTCCCTTTCAGGTTTTGCCATTTTTAAGATTCGGTTTTGCAATAAAAAAAAATCCTCATATGGATGTTCACATTTCTGATTAGTATAAATGCTGGTCTCATGAGATATAATTTGGTTAAAAAAATATGACTGGAAGAACTAATACATGAACATAGCCCCAATGGGAAAGTGGAATTATGGAAAATCACTAGAGCTAAAGCCAGACAGCACTGTTACTCCAGCTGAACAGTATCTATTAGTCTTTAATGGCTTTAGTATGTCATTTACCACCAACTTGTGAGCCTCTTCAACGGAATTAATGTTGTACCATTGTTGTAAATGATTTTATGTTAATGAAGCAAGAAGCTTATAACATTAGCAAAGTAAGAGATGAGATACAGGTTGAGTGAAGAATTGCTAGCCAGAAAAAAAACAGATTTTCAGAGAGACATGTGAGTGGTTTTATTCCCAAATTCTATTATATGCCAATGAGACTTCCATTTATCCCTTTGTGCTCTACATCCTTCTAAAGGATAGAACAGAAAGTTGTTAAAACCAGTGAACTCCTAAGAGGAAAAGAGGATGCTTAGCTGAAATATAATAATCTTCATAGTGCTAAGGACAAGTCATAAATTTATAACAACTTTCACTTTCCTCTCAGTTTAGTGAATTCAGAAACTTAGTCAATAGTTTATCAATGACAATGCACAAAAAAATTCAACACAATTTTTAAAAATACACTATTTCTGTCATTTGGTACAGGTAGTCCTCAACTTATGACCACAACTGAGCCCAAGATTTATGTTGCTAAGTGAGAAACTTTTAAGTGAGTTTTGTCCCATTTTATGACTTTTCTTGCCACATTTGTTGAGTAAATTAGTAACACTGTTAAGTGAATCTAGTTATCCCACTGACTTTGCTCGTCAAAAGGTGATCATGACCCCACGACACAGCAACTGTCATAAATGTGAGTCAGCTGACAAGCATCTGAATGTAAATCATATGACCATGGGGATGCTGCAACAGTTATAAGTGTGAAAAATGGTCATAAGTCACTTTTTTCAATGCCATAGTAATCAAACAGTCACTAAGAGAACTGTTTGAAGTCAAAGACTACCTATATAATGTTCCAACATTTTGCACCATCAAAATAACCTCCCTGATGTACTCATGCAAAATGAGAGAATATTTAAGATGTTTACTATTTTCAGGAATTAATTTGTTAACCATATATAAATGGATAACCAATTCCTTAATAAAAGCAGTTTCACAGTAAATAACTCCCCTACCCATTATAACTTAACAGAAAGCTTATATAGCAAAATAAATGCTATGCTGCATTTTGATTTATAATTATGCAACACATATTCTATATTCCAGCCTGAAATCAGGGCTTTGCAGTTTACACTGCAAAGCCACTGACACAGGAAAAGATCTATTAAAGGACAACTTTTCCGGCTGTTGAAGTTGACACATTCCGATATCATGCATAACTAGAACAAGTTTTTTTGAGTAGGCCCTTACTGGGTGGGCCAATAGGCATTTACATTTCATGCCCAGTTAGGCACAAATACTTGGAGCCCTGTTAATCACTCTCAGACCATTGTCTGTAAACATCCAATGACCCTGAACCAAAAAACTAGCCTGTCAGCAGCTTGATGTGTCTCAAGATTCCAGCAAAATTCACTAATTAATCTGCTGTTCTTTTGTTTTATGCTACTCCAAGTTTAAAATATTAGCTTTAACTAATCCCTTTAAAAGGCTGCATTGAATTTAAAACAGTGTAACTGATTATGCAAGTTTTCTGAAGGCTGTTAACTATTTGGGCAACAGATTATTCTCTTTTCTTTCCCAATAATACTTAATGATAGCTGGGAGTGACAGCCAGCTCCCTCGCTTTCTAGTTTCTCATGCTATATTTTAGTTATTCTCCCTGAGAAAACCTGTTACCCCAACTCAGTCTCATTTATACTTTGTTGTGCAGTTTCCATCTCTATACCTAAGAATATACTCTTTCCAAGTACTTCTTTTAAAATGTTTCTAAGGATAATAATATGAAGGTTAACCATGTTCTTTGTGTTTTATATATTCAGAAGAATTTCAAACATTTTACACATCTCTGGAGGCTTTTTTCATCTCTCGGAACCACTTAAAATGGACTGTGCTGTTTTTGCACCAGAAAGAAAAGAAGCAATAAAGAGCCATTCGACGAAAATAACGGGGTATGTGGATTAATGTTGCAGAAAAGACAAAAAGCCTTGAGCAGATTTCAGTGGAAAAATTTGAAAGACTGTGTCTCCTATCCTTTTGAAAACTGATGCTTGTATGCTACAATAGAGCTCACCAGGGAAATGAGTAATGCTTAATTTCCAGAAAGAGAAATGCCGGAAATTCCTGAGGGATAATACCATTTTCACAATCAACCTTTCTCCACTGATCTTTATGAAGGACAGGTTGCTCTTCGCTGGACTGAAAGGGAAAAGTATTCTGCATACGTTCAGATGCTAGGTTTGTGCACTATTATATATTGGTATCTACTTCAGCCTTCTATCCTAGCACAGAAAGAACTCGGCCTGAAAAAAAAAGGCTTGCTTAGGAGTTCTTCATGAAGACAGATGGTTAGGTAAAGTAGCATCTATCAATGACTCCACAAGAATTACTCAATGTTACTTTATACACACGATCCATATAAATGCTGAATCCTTTAAAAAAGCACCTAGAAGTGCTGAAAATAATAAACCTGAGCAATACTGCCCAGCTCTTTGATATAATAAACCTGTCACATTTTACCTTTTGAAATGCATATAAATAATCTAAGGCCAATCGTCAGAAAGTGGACCCACATCTCCTTTGTGTTCTTAATACCATAACCCTCTGATAAGAGTGCTTAAGTTTTGGAATTTCCGGTTGACGTCGCGGCAAGACAGTCGGGGAAATAGCGGGCTCTGATGAGTCCCGCAAAAACTCGGCTGCCGAACCGCTGCCGATGGGTCTGCGGACCGAACCCGTCCTGCAGGGACGGGGGAAGAAGAAGGGTGCCTCAGAAGACTGAGAGGAACAGGCAAGTTCCTCGGAGGTCAGAGGGAACCGTCTGTGAGTCGGCAGCGGGTGGCGGCAGCCATGTCGGCTGCCACAAAGCTGGGACAACCGGGCAAGAAAAGTGCTGGAGGAAAGTGAAGTAAAACGGAACCTTTTGAAGCCGGGTGAGTGACAACACCCCAGGCTTGTAACAATGTTTGGAGCTATATCAGTAACTAGAAGACCCCTAGCCTAAAACAGTGGCTAAGTAACAAAGGGGCTTTGAAATTTTTTTAAAAACTGCAACTTTAAAGAACAAAGACCCGAGAAACAACTAATTTTGGAACAAGGATTAAGAGACTTAATTTAGAGATTTGGTAAAAAGACTAAACACTTTAAAATCTGAATTGGATTAAGTGGGGGGGGGGGAGAAGATTTGATACTTTTTTAACCAAAAGAAGAAAATAAAGTCGATGGTTATATAATAAGAAATAAAATGGAGTCTTGCATGACTAATGGGAAATGTGAATTATAGAGAGACATCATCTGGCACAAAGAGGAACTTTGTAACCTCCCTTTGTTATGAGAACTTTGAGCTCTACAGAAAAAAAAAATTGCTGAACTGTGGAGGAGGATTTTTCTTTCCTGACTGCAAGCAGCTGGACTTGGGTGAAAAGAAAAGGAATTTACAATGGAACTCCTACAGTTGAACAAATAATAACTTGAATGTTGGCGTAGGAATAGAAGAAGGATTTAGCGCAGCCCCCCAAAAAAGAGATTTGATACATTATATCTGGAATAAAAATATGAAAAGAGATCTAATTGGATTTATGGAGAATAAAATTAAAACTTGGAAAATGGAAAGAAATTTATGTTTGCAGACGAGGAAATGAAGATAATGTGATTAAAAATAAAATAAAGTAAAGATGATTGTAATAAATTAAAGGGAGGCTTTTATAGAAATTAAGATTGTTAAATGAAACTAATTAATACATATAAAGATATATTTAATGCAAGAACTATGTTTTAATGGTAAAATGTCAAGATAAAGAATAAGGGTGAATATGATTAACGAGTAAATGAAAATAATGTGATTAAAAATAAAATAAAGTAAAGATGATTGTAATAAATTAAAGGGAGGCTTTTATAGAAATTAAGATTGTTAAATGAAACTAATTAATACATGTAAAGATATGTTTAATGCAAGAACTATGTTTTAATGGTAAGATGTCAAGATAAAGAATAAGGGTGGATATGATTAATTGAAAATGTTAAAAGGAATTTAAAAATATACTTAAAAATATGTTTTAAGCAAGAACCATGTCTCAAGGTTAAAATGTTATGATTGCTATGAAAAAAGATAAAGAAAAATATGACTAAACTAAAAGCAATGCATAGATGGAGGGAAACAACAAAGAAAGGTTTAAGTAGAGATTGTTAAACCAACTATGAACATGCTGTATTTAACAGCCAAAAAGTTATAATATGCTGTATAGAACAGCCAAACAAACAGTCATGCTGGGTATCAGCCAAAATGAAACTTAATATGCCGTGTTAACGGCCAAAAAACAAAAATAGAGATGCTATGTTCAACAGCCAAACAAACCTGAAGATGCCGTGTAACGGCCAAAAAACAAAACTAATATGCTGTGTTCAACATATGTGTTCAACAAACAAACCTGAAGACGCCAATGTAACGGCCAAAAACCAAAACTAATATGCTGTGTTTAACAACCAAACAGGGGCATGCTGGCTAACGGCCAAAAAATAAAAATATGCTATATTTAATAGCTAAAACAAAGGATTATGCTGTGATCAACAGTCAAGAAATAGAAATGATTGGTTTAACATCAAAGATAATAAAAAGAGGTGGGATGATCAAAACAAGGAGGTGCATGTTGAGAGTGATAGTTAAGATAAAATGCATGTTAGGTTTAATAATAATTAAATAATTAACGAATGTTTAATTTGTCTAATATAATTGTATGATTTATATTGTCAAAATATCCATCTAAGCAAATGAAAGAGAAAAATGAATTGTTAACTGCATAGGATTTAAGATTTAAGTAACGGGTTTTGGGGGATAATTTATTATTTATTTATTTCTTCTCCGTAGACTCAGGGCGGCTTACAATGCATTATAGCAATAGCCTACATACTTTTTTGTATATACCTGCTTTTAGGGCTTTCGACACCCCCCCCCCAAGCGGTGTTGTTCTATACAAAGTTGGCTTATTGCCCCCACAATCCGGGTCCTATCTATATAACTATAATGGTATAGTTATATAGATAGATTTGAGGGAAATATCTGTTTAAAATATTGAGTTGTGTTAATTGAAAATAAGATTTGTTAATGATTTGTTTCCATTTGTGACCAGAGCAAAAGCTTCGTTTTGAAAAGATGTGTTCTATTTTATTATTTTTTTTGTTTTAAAAAAATAAAAAAATATTAAAAAAAAGAGTGCTTAAGTTTTATTCCTGCTAACTTCCTTCTGATAAATGTTATTTCCCCTCCAAATTATATACACTTACAAAGTCTGTAGATATGAGAGTCCTTTAAAAACCCCATCAGCAATGTAACTGAGTCTATTGTCACTCAAATTTAATTTTTCCAATACATTCACTCCAATAAAAGCAAAGTCATCTAGACGAGTCAGTTGATTGTATGACAGATCTCTGAAATGAAAGGCACAATAAAGAGAAAGATGTAAGTAATAAGATTGTTGAAATGTTGTGACACCACTAATCAATTTGATTTGAGAAGACAGATCCATTTTTATAAGGTATGTTAAGAAACTTTCCCAACTGAGATAGCAATTTATTCCACTAAATTTACCTCAATAAAACAAATGTAAGTACTTACAGTTCAGAAAGACTTTGGCAGAATTCCCATGCATCACGTCCAATCCTGTTAATGGCATTCTGACTGACATAGAGCTTTTGCAGGGCCTTTAAGCCATATAACCATCCCTTATTTACTTCTGTCAGATTATTCTGTTCCAACTCTCTGCAGAATCAAAAGAAAATGTTACATATGTTTTAAATCGTGTATTTAAAAGTATGTACAGTATTTAGATGCGTATCATATATATAGCAATTTGCTAGTAGAAATGCAAAGCTATTATTAAATACTATTGTACCTACAGATCCTCAACTAAGCCAAGACAATTTCGAAAGCAAAGAAAGGAAAGGTTTATGTAGAAAGCAAAAGGCAATGAATTCAACATTCATTAATTTTTTTACTCTTATTATGAATTGTTATCTGTCACTGTTTTCTGGAAACTTTATAAAGTGTACTATGGAATATTTTAAAAAACCCTATTAAAATTATGATGAAATAATACTGTTCAAATTAATTGGTAAACCAATACATCTATCAGTAAACTTAATCAGCCCTTTCAACTAATGAAATCTAAGATTTTTAATGAAGAAGTTATACAGTATACTCACAATTCTTCCATATTATTCAGTCCAAAAAAGGCACCATCCATCAGATTATTAATTCCATTGCGTTGCATTTTTAATGATTTCAAAGAGTCCAAGCCTTGGAAGGTAAGGCTTTCTATTACTTTAATTCGGTTTCTTTTAAGTTCCCTGAAAATAACATTTTAAATATAAGGTACCAGAAATCAATCAATCTATCTATCTATCTATCTATCTATCTATCTATCTATCTATCTATCTATCTATCTATCTATCTATCTATCTTCTATCTATCATTTATCTATCTATCCATCCATCCATCCAACAAATATAACTTTTTCTATGCTTGCTATTCTAATAAAAACATTACAAAGATGTGTAGAGAACACAATTTAGCCATCAAAAAGACAAAAACTGAACTACAAAACTAAATGATCAAAGCCATACCTAGTAGTAACATATATTTAAACATATAAATCCTCAGATGACCAATATTTTCACCCTGAACAAAGAGTTTAGGTGGTACACTTTCTACCAGGACTTCAGCAGCAGATTAAAAAAAAATCTTTCTTCATATTAACCATTATTTTAATATCATCCCATTATTTTAATGCATGCTAAGGCTATATTTAACTTATAATGCCAGTATATATATTTGGTTTGAAATGAAACCTGTTATTTGAAGAGTAATATATTTATGGTACAATGTGAACTTTATTCCGACAAAGTAATAAAATCTAGGGACTGGTAGGCATCATCTTCAGGTAGACTCAACTTACAACCAGTTACGCCACACCTCCCTCAGGATACTTAAGACTTGATTATGAAGTTTTAGTGGCCACATGACTGCATTTCAGGTGCTTGGCAACTTGCCTGCATTTATGGCTATCTGCAGCACCTCACAGTTACATGCCCATGTTTTATGATGGTTTAGCCAAAAACCTGCCCATAGTGAACCATTGGTTCACTTAATGAGCTGATCAGGTCAGTCATGTGGATGACCTGATTTATAACCATCACTACTTATGAGCACAATGGGCAGGCTCTATCATGGTCATATGTCAAGGACTACCTGTAATTCAATCCCTGCTCAGAATTCAGAATCATGGAATGTTGGGAACTATTAGTGCTTTAGATTCCTGCATTGAGCAGGGATTCAGTAGTACAGGGGTCTCAAGCTCAAGGCCCGGGGGCCGGATTCAGATCTGGTCCACAGGGCCATCCTGGCCTGTGGTGCCCCGTCAGCAAAAATGAAGATCAGGAGGGGTGTGCTTGCCTCTCCCAAGTTCCGTTTTTACTGGCAGTGGGTTGCAGGAGGCGGTTGCAGCAAAAAACGGAACTCAGGAGCCCATTTTCGCTGGCAGAGTGCTAGGGCCACCACGGGCGCCCAACATGAATGACATGCTGGCCACACCCAGTCCGGCCATGCCCAGCCTGCCCCCCCCCCGAGGTCAAACACAACCCTGAATTGGTCCTCAATGAAATTGAGTTTTACACCGCTGCAGTAGTATAAATAACCCACCACTAGAAATTTATCCAATATTCTTATTAACTTATTTTATTAGACATATACATTTAAAAATCAAATACTTCTCTGGCATGAATTTATGACATTCATTAACATGCTCCATATATGGGCTTCAAACTGACAATGTATAATTACTTACAAGAACTGCACATAAGGTAGCTTCAAAGTCTTCAGTGGAATCATGCTTATTTTGTTTCTGTTCAGTTTTAGAACTATTAAGGAATTGGACAGGTTATCAAAACAGCCTGCTTCCAGAGTAGTTATTCTATTGTTGCTCAAATTCCTATAAAACCAGAGTTTTAGAAAGGCAGTTGTTAAATTCTGATGAAATAATTTAACAAAAAAACCAAAGGTTATCTATTGCATTTTGATTTAGAATTGAAATTTACTTTCATAAAGCTTATCGTGCTGTTTCACTCACTGTTAGAATTAATTACATACAATTAAGTAATGATCTTATATTCAGAGTTTTCTAGGTATTACTCCTTGTAGAATTGGTATTTTCCTCTGTCACTCAGCAGCCTACTATGTTAAGCAACCTAGACAATCATGTAAGAGAATCTGAAACATACTACAACTTTGAGGAATTGAGACTGAGATAAACATTCCTTTTTCAACCTGTCCACATTCAGGCATTACAACTAAACTGTAACTGAGCTGACTCTATTCCCACATAGCTGAAGAGTGTTTGTTTCTGCTTTTAATTAATTGTGGCTTATGTTTTTGGAACCACTAAGTGCAATTAACATTAATCAATTTATCGTTTGTTTTAAACTAATCACAGTTACTATTAATTACAGCTCTTGGTCCAGACATGCATGTTGCAATTAAAGTTTGAAAGTTTGAAAGTTTATTAGATTTCTATACCGCCCTTCTCCCAGGGGACTCAGGGCGGTGTACAGCCATATTAAAACACATAAATTTATAAAATTTAAAACCAATTAAAATCAAATATATAAAATTTGGCCCTTAAATTAAAACATACATATGCCCATTTAAAATTCATATTAGGCCAGTCCAGCTTGCTGAAACAGAAGGGTCTTAAGGGCGCGGCAAAAAGTACGCAGGTTGGGGCTAAAATGAAGCTCTAGGGGCAGCTCATTCCAAAGGGCTGGTGCCCCCACAGAGAAGGCTCTCCCCCTAGGTGTCGCCAGTCGGCATTGTTTGGCCGACGGCACCCTGAGGAGCCCCTCTCTGTGGGAGCGTATTGGCCGGTGGGAGGTTGTTGATGGCAGAAGGCGGTCTCGTATGTACCCTGGTCCTAAGCCATGGAGCACTTTAAAGGTGGTGACCAACACCTTGAATCGCACTCGGAAGACCAATGGGAGCCAGTGCAGCTCGCGCAGAAGAGGTGTTACGTGGGTGCGTAACTAAATGAATTAACTAAAAATTTAACTAAAAACGAAAGCTTTTTAACTGTCTTGTAGAATAATAGAATAGAATCCTTTATTGGCCAAGTGTGATTGGACACACAAGGAATGTGTCTTGGTGTATATGCTCTCAGTGTACATAAAAGATACGTTCATCAAGAATCATAAGGTACAACACTTAATGATAGTCATAGGGAACAAATAAGCAATCAAATCGTATTAGGAAACAGTCAATATAAATCGTAAGGATACCAGCAACAAGGTTACAGTCACACCGTCATAAGTGGGAGGAGATGGGTGACAGGATAATAGAATAAACTGAGAATGTATAAACCTGGGAGGATACTATATTCATGAACTGTCTCACTAAGCTACAGTTTAGCATGTTTAGAACCACATTAATATTCCATATAGTGAAGATCTGCTTGACATTATTGAAGTCTATTTGCCTATCCTATTTCCAATCCCCAGAGTTAATAAATTAACATTAAAAGTTTATACTATTCCTGCAATTGATATTTTGAGGGATACCACCTCCTAATCTGGGAATCCATACAGCCACCTGTATATCCATCCCTCTATTCAGTGATTCCTGAATCTGTTGTGTGAGATGTTACTAAATCTACTCTTCACAGCATGTCTGATTTCATTAGTACCATTGTGAAGTTTGTATTATTTCATTAATATCATGACTTTATAAAAATGGCACAGAGACAGAATACATGTTATTTGATGCACAGAAATCCATTAACAACCGTTGCATTCTTTTTATATAAAGGAAAAATTTTTGAGGATAGATATATGAATTGAAAAATAAACTACTTTCAATACCTCATGCTAAGTATCCCCATCTACTTACAGGTACTTCAGCTGCATATGTGGGAATGAAGAAACTTTGATTTCTGTGATGAAGTTGGAGCTGAGATCAAGATTCTCCAGGGAGAAATAAGGTTGTAGCTGTTCAGAGACAATCTCCTGAATTGAATTATGCACTCTAAAACATAAATAAGCACCTTAGAAGCCATACTTATATCATCTCTGAAATTTCAGCTCCTTAAAAAATACAGCCAAATATCTCGTAGATTAAATGTGAATCCAGAATATTATTTAGAAGCTGTTTATTTTGATCATATAAACTGTTTTAAGACAAATCTTATCCTTTTAGTGTACAAACCTGGATGAGGTTACTGCAAAGTATCAAGGATCACTTCAATTTTCCTTTAGAATTATGGTTCTAGAATGGGTTTCTCTGTTGATCGGCTGGGCTACTATCCAAACAGCTTGATGGATTGCTTGCCAGCATCATTTGATAAGTATTGTAACTTATTTAAATTCTGGTATTACTCTTGTTCTTAATTGCTCTTCCATAGTACTACTAGATATTAATTACATAAATTTTTCAATTTACTTTTCAAACATCCCCCATGCTTCATTTTTTATTTGATTAATTATCTAACAGTTTTATTTTCTACACTGCTAAATTTAAACATCATTCTATGAAATCTGTGAATATTAACTTACAGTGATAGTAGTGTGATATTAGAAGTTAGTTCACCAAAGTGGGGAATGCCACTTAGTTCATTGTGATTCATCTTCCTGAAAGATTTAGTAGAGAAGCAAATCAAAGAGAAGCAAATCAACATAAATAGAGTAACATTCTTGTTCTATGTGCATTTTTTAAAAAATCTAGAAACTTTCTCGGTAGTGAACTTATAAAAAGCAAAACAATTCAAAGCACCTAAATACATTTATTTTATTATTTGAATTCAGTCATTCTGGCAAAATAGAAATTTTTGCAAACAAGTCTGTGTGCTGAAGTGATACTTCAGAAGAACACTGATATTAAACATGTAAACACTAGTTAATTTTAAATTCTATATTAAATGAAAAACATTTCTATACATGCAAACTAGTTTAAGAACCATAAATTAATCAGCAGAACTTGAAACTAAAAGCGATCATCAATATTACTATGTTTATAATACATATATACATTCAATGCAACTTTCTAAATCTGGAATTCTATGTATCTGGATGTAAACCTACTAAAGAAACAAACTCTTCAATTTAAGAAATGGTATCATGATTGTACCTTGTCAAATCCAAACTGTCCACTTCTCGGCTAAATTATTTCTAATAATTAGAAGGAACATTGGTCTTACCTGATACGATCCTTCTCGTTGAGTGGGGGCAGCATCCAGAAATGGGTTGTCCTTATCTGCTAGCGAATAGGACTGAGACTGTCAAAGCTGCAAGGACACGCCTACACCAACGGTCCCCAGCTTCTGGCGAGGGAACTGTGACAGCCTCAACTTGTCATGGTCAGAAACAAAGCAACAAGTAGTCAAGCAATAACATACAACCACCTTTCAGCGGACTGAGGCTGGCTCCTAATCAGGGTGGTGCTTGATGCTGCCCCCACTCAACGAGAAGGATCGTATCAGGTAAGACCAACGTTCCTTTTCCATTGTAGTGGGGGCAGCATCCAGAAATGGGACATACCATAGCGGTGCTGTCCATACGGGTGGGCAGGAGCCTGGCCCAAGGTCCCCTTATCAATGTGCACCCATTGGAGGACCCGCCTCCCAAAGGCAGCCTCGGCAGAGGCATAGACGTCAAGCTTAGAGTGCGTGATAAAGGGGGACGGGGAGGACCAGGTAGCAGCGCAGCAAACCTCCTCTAGGGAGGCCTGTGTAGCCCATGCCGCACTTGTGGCCACACTCCTAGTGGAGTGTGCCGTAATACTCTTGGGCAATGGAAGGGTCTGCTTTTCATAGGATTTGTCAATACACACCCTAATCCAGCGTCCCAGGGTCGAAGCAGTGACCTTGGCTCCCAATGAGGCCAGCTGAAATGAAACAAACAGAGACTCTGTCTTCCTCAAGGAAGAAGTCTGCTTTATATAAATCTGGAGTGCTCTACGCACGTCTAACGTGTGCCACTTGCATTCTAGCGCATGACCTGGATCAGGACAAAAATTTGGGAGCACCAGCTCCTGGGCCCTGTGGAACCAAAAGTTAACCTTAGGTAGGAAGGAAGGGTCCAAACCCAACACTACACGGTTGGTATGAAATACACACAGGTCTGGACGGACAGAAAGGGCCGCCAATTCTGAGACCCTCCTGGCCTAAGTTATAGCGACCAGGAAGGCCACCTTGAAGGACAGGAAGCGCAGAGGGGTCTCTCATAGTGGCTCAAAGGGTTCTCCCATCAGGGCCTGCAGCACCTTGGTAAGGTCCCAAGTTGGAAAGCGGTAAACCACCGGGGGCCTGAGATTTGCCGCACTCCTGAGGAACCTACGAATATTTGGATGGCAAGCCAGTGTCTCCAAGCCCCTGCAGGAGAAAACTGAAGAGAGAGCTGCCACCTGGCGACGGAGCATGTTGGGGGATAGCACTTTGTTCAGACCCACTTGCAGAAATTGAAGAATCTGAGGCACTGTCACCAAGGTTGGGTCAAGAACCGACTTACAACACCAGGAGCAAAACGCCCACCATTTGTAAATTTCTAAATAACGTATCGGTTCAGTCTTTTGAGATCCAGAATTGCCCTATACCCACATGAGACCTTTGGAATTACAAAGAGGATGGAATAAAACCCCATGCCTCGCTCAACCCCTGGAACTGGTTGAACAGCATGTATATCCAAAAGGTGTTGTATAGCAGTTTCCATGAGGTCTCGTTTGACCGGATTACCTGAAACAGGGCAAGAGATGAAAAACCTCGGGGTGGGGTAGAGAGGAACTCTAAGGAGAGACCCAAACGGACCATCTCCAGGACCCATGCATCCATTGTGATACCCTCCCAACGCCTGGCAAAATAGGCCAGGTGTCCCCCAATGGGAGAGTTCATGAGGCAGTTATCGCTGGCGCTGGTACGGACGGCTCCTTCCCCCTTGAAAGGGCCGCCTAGGAGGAAATTGCTTAAATTTCCCTCCTCTATCCTGAGGTTGACTTTGTCTAGGTTGGAAGGAGCGCTGCGTCCTACTTGAGCCAACCCCCCCCCCAGGGCCTCGGAAAGACTGGCTTCTGAAATATGGAGAAGGGTGTGAGTCTGTCCATTGTGATAGGGAAGGGAGGACCTTACGTTTGTCTTTAGTTTCCACGAGCAGCGGCTCCAGCGACTCTTCAAAGTTGCTTCCCCGAGAACAGGGCAGATGCCAACCGCTACTTCTGCTTGGCATCCGCCTGCCACTGGTGGAGCCAGAGAAGTCTCCTGGAAGCCATGGACCAAGCAATGGCTTTTGATGTGAACCTCGCCGCTCCAAGCGTCTGCAGAAAACTCAAGAGCGTCCCATAACTTATTTAAATCTTGATGGGTACACACATCTGCAACAGGAATTCTGTCCTACAATTGCCTGAGCCACAATAGAGAAGCACAATTAAAAAATGAAGCAGCTGTAGAGACCTTCACAGCTCATGCTGCAGACTGGTGATCCCTTTTAAGGGCGTGCTAATTGCGTCTGTCCTCCAGTCAAAGAGACTCTTCAGGTACATCTGTCATGACAGACGGAGTCACTAAGGCCACCACAGGCCCATCCACAGTTGGCACCTCAAGTACCTGAGACAAATCAGCAGTCATATTAAAGTATTGCCTATCAAGCGAGCTGGGAGTTGGTCCCACTCCCAGGGAGACCCACTGTCGACGTACCACATCTGTGAACAATGGTGGTGCCAGAACCACCTCAGCCTCTGCCTTGGGCTCAGAAAACAAAGAGCCACTATGCTGTCCAGAATCAGGAGCCGGATCCACCACTGGCAAGTGCCCAGCCAGTCTGATCGTGCAGGAAGCCTTATATAATAATGACTTAAACAGCTGAGGCCTGAAAAGGCCAACAAAGAGGGCCTGCTCAGTAGCTAAGCCTTCATCCTCTGAGAGGTCAAACTCTCTGTCCATGTCTTCAGGCGAACCCTCCTGATCTGAAGACCCAGGGGAATAAGACCCCTGGGAATGTATCACCTCAGCTGAGGTCTGGCCCTTTGTGGGCGCCTGTGAAGTCACTGAATAATTTGAGTGAAGGGAAGCTTCACGGTGATTGTGGCTGTGCTGTAACCCAGCTGCAATTCCCCTCTCAATGGCTTGAGAAATAATGGCCTCCATGTTAGATGAAAACTGGACTATCTGTTGCCCCTGAACTATTTCCCTGTGAAGCAGGGATACAGGCAGCCTCTGTAGTACAGGATCTGTGCCTGATAAGCTGTTGCCATGCCACTTGGGCAGAATGGGAATCAGGGAGAGAGCCAAATAGAGAAAGCCTGTTGTCAGGCAGAATTTCAGGCAAATATTGCTCAGAACTCCATCTGGTGACAAAGGCTGCAATAGCCAGCTGTCATCCTCAGGAATTAACTGCTGCTCCGAAAATTGGCAGGAAATTTTAGTTGAATGGCTCTGAGGGACTCCACTGCTACTAACCGATGCCCTGGCCACCTGTTTTTCAAGTGCCTTTTGGCGCCTGGCAGCATCCTTCTCCTTTGCGGCTCTCTTGGACTTAAGAGAGTTTAGCCGCAGTCCTCCTGCTAGCCGACCTAGACTCTGAGGCTAGGGTCCCCTTGTCCACCTTCCTGGGCTCCTCACCCATCTCCAGCGACAATCTCTGAAGGGCAGCCTGTCCGCTGACACCAAGGGTCGCACCCGCCATTTTGTGATCCACCGCTGAACAGCTGGGATCAAAAGTGGCCTCGCTACGGTGGCTTCCAAGTGTGCTCGAGATCGAGTAGAGGCTTGGGAATCAAGCCCCTTGTCTCCAACGACCAAAAACGGGGCAAAGGAAGTGTGTCCAAATTGGACAGGGACTCCTCCTTTTGGCGGCTGCTGTCTTCTGACAGCTCAGGCTTGCTGACAGCCCAGCCGCCCTTTGGCTCAAAACGGAGTGCAAAGCTTCCCGCTGAGCCAGAATCAAAGCGAGCCGATGTCCACGTTCTGGGTCAGCACTGCAAGCAAGTTCGATCTGGCTGCCTGGTCAGGACCACCAGCCGGTGGCCTGACTTGCCGCAATGCGGCCCTCAGAAGGCTCGTGCTAAAAGCACTTCATGCTGGCACCTAATCAAACGAAACTGCAAGGAAAGGAAAAACAAAAAAAGTCTAAATTCCTATTCCAAACAAACAGCAAGAATTCAGGAATGGTTGACCAAGCAAAGACAGAAACTGTGGACAGAAGACAGCTGTGGACAGCTGTGGACAGAAGACAGAAGCTGTGGGCAGAAGACAGCTTCTGTCCACAGCCAGGACTGAGACAGAAGCTGGGGACCGTTGGTGTAGGTGTGTCCTTGCAGCTTTGACAGTCTTAGTCCTATTGGCTAGCAGACGAGGACAACCCATTCCTGGATGCTGCCCCCACTACAATGGAGAAACACAGGTAGCACCCCCTAGCCAAACTTGGCTAAACTTAGAAAAAGCTAATCAAGGTCAGACTGGGCTGGTAATTTATTGGGGAGCCACAGGCAACCTCAGGGCTATAGATCTGAGCTGGGGAAGAAGGGGACAGAAAGCAAAGACCCTAACCTCTTCCCTATTGTACCAAAGTACCTGTATGCCCTGACCCAAAGTCAGAATTTAAACAAAAAATTATTTTGAACCCAATGCTAGAGAAAAAGGTGCATAGGATCTATACATCAACATGAAACTCTCTGAAAACATAACATATTGACCAAATTTGGGATAAAGAAAGAAGCTGTGAAAAGAAAGACTGAATTTAAAAATAAAGCAGATCAACCTGGAGGCTTCACAACAAAGTTGTATATTATAAATCTTTTTGGATTTGTGGACTGGCAGAACGGTGGGAGAAGGGACGGTTCTGTGCGCCTAGCAGGCAAGCACGCATGCAGCTCGATTTGCGTGAGTGGTGGGCATGCTCACCCACTCCTCGCGCAAATGGAGCACATGCGCTCGCCCACTGCTCACACAAGTGGGGATGCACACGCATGCCCTGGCCTGCCACTTCTGTTTCAAAAGGTTCAACGCCAGTAGTGGCTGTGGCTCGGGGAACCGTTCTAAACCCCACTCCCTCCTCTTTTCTAGTCACATGCTCCAGAATGATTATTAAAGACTCAGCAATGATTGCAGAAGCCATAATTTGAATGTCTTATTTTTTTTTTCCATTGTATTTGCAACCTATACTGAGGGTGTCTAAGGCAGTTCAGTGTTAATATCACAGCTATATGACTGCTCCTATCATATTTAATCCTTTTCCCCCTTCCCTTCCCTTCTTAAAACTCTTTCACTGACAATCCTACTATTAGAAGCCTTTTGGTTTTTTTCTTGCTCAATCTGTCATTCTCAAATATCACGTCACTTGACATATTACAACTCTTAATGCCATATTGCTTAGTTTATTACTTTATGGCTAAAGTAACTTACACTTCTTGCAGCATTTGACCCGATGAATCAATACTCCAATTAGAGGATAATAAATTGTTATGACTCAAATCTCTGTAAGCAAAAAAGAAAATTATAACATTATCTAAACAGCTTAATATGACATTCATCTCACAAAATCTTGAAACTACCTTCATTTCTAACTTTTCTAGTTGAATATAGAAAAGTATCACAAGAGAACAATAAAGACTCTACTATGTGCATCTATAACACACCCTGTGAACTAGAGGTAATCCTCTACTTAGGACAATTGAGCCCAAAATTTCTGTTAAGTGAGAGATTTGTTTTGCACCATTTTACAATCTTTCTTGCCACAGTTGTTAAGTGAATCACTGCAGTTGATAAGTTAGTAACCTGGTTGTTAAGTGAATCTGGCTACAAAAGGTGATCACATGACCTTGAGACACAGCAATTGTTATAAGTATGAATCAGTTTTCAAACATCTGAATTTTGATCACATGATCATGGGAATGCTACGAAGGTTGTAACTCATAAGTCACTTTTTTCAGTGCCGTTGTAACTTTGAACAGTCACTAAATGAATTGTCGTAAGTCGAGGACTACCTGTATTGAGGTGTTGGATCACATGATATCTGGGCTGAGTTGCCTGATACTCCTCTGGAATGCACCCTCTCACTCCTGGGGATCCATCGCCTCACTACAATTCATCACCAGTACTGTACATTCCATCCTACACAGCCAACTAAATAGTTTACATGTTCACATTTGTTTAGTTCAGCAATGGACTTTATTTTTATTGCAACAATATTTATCAATTAGTTCATTACAAAGATACTTCACTGATAAAAAACATGTTGGGATTTTTTTAAAATTGACAATATTTAAAATTAACAGCACAGACAACAATGGCAAAACAAAATTTAAGAGACAATCCAAATACTTCCTGATAATGAAGTTGTGACAGACTTAAATTCTTTAGTGTATGACTCAGCACTAATTTCAAAACACTGTTCCTGATGAAATGTCAGTGACTAAACATTAGAACCAGTCTCAGTTTGAAGGCTACCATGCATACTCCATAAAGACGCACTTAAATATATGTTCAACTATCTCTTTCAGAACAAAATCGGAAGGCTTACATAAAAAAAGGCATCTAAAGTGTTCTAGCATATAGTGTCCCTGAACCCACAACATTTATAACTCTCCCCCCACTATAATCCTGTTGATCCCAGGAAACATAATACTTTAAATTGCTATTAATCAGTTATTAGAACATATTTGCTGCTGCTCCAAAACTTCAAAAACATAAAAATATCAAGCAAAGATTGTTATAAAGTTATAATCTTTACTCATATGCAGACTTAAACACCAGAAATAAGCAGACCAAAAGCACCTGGAAAGTCCATACATTATAGCTTTTCTTCTGACCAATTATGCCCCAGAAACTGTTGTCTACTGTTAGCGACCTTGTGAAACTGTTCTTAACCTGTCTTTCAGATCTTCTACCAGTGCCTTTCAATTACAGGAGTGTATAAAGAATGGTAATGAGAAGAACAGTGAATGCCATGGATTAAGACAAAGTAAAGGCTCACAACAGTAGGGTAAACGAACAACTATTTCTTTGCTACCAAATCTTGCTGTCACAGGTTCTTTTATGCATATCCAAGTCAGTGGACTCCAAAACCCAAGAAAGCCTACACAACCACCCAGGTTTAGGCAACACAAGCACTCAAATCTAGTACTCATTGCTCACTGCTCCACTTTTTCCTGCTTCTACTACACCTCCTCCTACAGCTCCTCCAACTATTATTCTTACGAGTCCTATTGCCAGAAAACAGTATCAGATTTTCTATCTCCTTTAGGGTGCTTTACAAGCACGCAAACATCCTTCCATCTTTCCCACACACCAACACACATCCTGTTACCTCTCTGGTCAGCATTTTTAGGCAACAGTTGCTGTGCTGCCTAGGGACAAGCCTTACAGGGATAGGGCAAAAGCAGCACAGGGATTAGCCATTTGGAGGCAGTCTGTCATCTCACTGGCTTAATTTCTAATAGCCCCTTAAACAAATGTTTTTCATTCTGACCTGCCTCCAATGATAACTTGTATTTCTTTCAAAGAACTCCTGTAAAAAAAAAAGATACAATTCACATACTTTATCAGTTAGTTCCCCCTCTATTTAACCTTGCTAAATTTAGATTTTTATTTTCTGGTCCATCCTCTGCATCACATGCCCATAAGTATGCAAGTTTCTATTTCCTCATTACCTCAAGGGAATACTTAATCTTTATTTGTCCCACTATTAATTCTTCCTGTGTTCCATTAAACTGTCTCCATCTCCAGTTCCATAATTTGAAAGTTTAGTTTATTTTTTCTCTTTCTCGATGTCAAGCTTTCACAGCTGCATATTATTACTGGAAAGACAATTGCTTTAAGTATTCTATTTCATGATTTTGTGTTAATTTGTCACTGGCCTCTTAATTTTGGATAACAAAGTGGTATCAGATACTTATCTCAATTTATAGATGATTTAATCTGTAATTCTGATTTAAACTGCCTTTTCTTCCAGTAATAATATTCTTAGAATATATTCAATATATAAACAGATGTGTTTACAACATAAATCTTGCTCATTCCCATTCCTATTCTGAAATATTTTTTTCTATGGTTTCTGTTCTTATAGAAGCTTCCTATCCAGGATAAATGTTACTTAAAAGACTAATAACTATTTTGGGATACCCATTAGATTTAAAATATTCTAAATTTTGGTGGGATGATCGAATGCAGGGGTCCCCAATCCCCTGGTCCGCAGCCCATTCAGAACTAGGCTGTGGAAGTGGTGAGCAAGCATGCCTGGGTGCACTTGCATGCATGAAGCTGCATTTGTGAAAGTGGCGCTCATGTGCAAAACCATCCTCTCCCCTCCCCCCGCCACCGCCAGCCAATTGAGCCGGAAAGGTTGGGGAACACTGGTCTAATGGAAAGCAAACTGTTCCTGGAGGAGTGGGGACTGCACTGAGACATAAAGTGGTGGCCAGATAATGAATGCTGATCAGCAGATTCTCCCTGGAGAAGGAGACTCTAGGAGATTGTCCATCTGCATTCCAGGCAGCTGGTCCATGTGAGGAGGATGGTGAGTTTGTGGTAAACCTGTGAGCCGATAGCTTGGATTTGGGGATTTTCAATCGTGTCCATAACACAATGCATCTTGTATTGCAGGGGGTGTCAAACTCGATTTCATTGAGGGCCACATCAGGGTTGCGTTTGACTTCAAGGGGCTGGGGTGGGGGTGGCTGGGGTGGGGATGGCCAGCTCGATGTCACTTGTTCAGGCTCCGTTTTCAGCCGCAATGGCCTCCTGCAGCCCTCTGCCAGCAAAAATGGATCCCGGAGAGCCGTGCATTGCCCGCCCAGGCTCCGTTTTTGGCCGCAATGGCCTCCTAGAGCCCTCTGCCAGTGAAAAAGGAGCCTGCACAGAGGGTTTCCAGGGTGGCCCTGCGGGCCAGATCTAACCACCCTGCGGGCCAAAACCGGCCTGCGGACCTTGAGTTTGACACCCCGTTGTATGGGATGTAAAGTTTGCAAAAGCTTCACTTTATTATCATATATAATCAATTTAAAGTTAAAAAGAGATCTTCCAATTGGCAGGATAAAGGAAAATGTCTTGGTAAATCAACTGTCTTTCTAGATTAAAAAAAGTGAAATAAATGTTTTAAAACAGTCCCCAACCTTTCTTGCTTAGCGGACCAGCAACGGCAGCGGGGACGGGACAGGAGAGGAGGGGATAGTTTTGTGCAAGCACTGCTTTCACAAATGCAGCTTTGTGCATGCTTCCATAGCCCGGTTGCTAAAGTATTTTGAACTATGACTAAAAAACCACTGAAGAAAGCTTAAATGGAAAAAGGGAGCAATAATGTTGAAAGATTAATTTTTGGTAAAAGTGCTTTTGAAAACATTAGAATTAAATACATAAATGGACCAGACTTTTGTGGAAATGTTGTTTGTCTGATATTAAAGAACTCAGATTATTTGTGGATTTTACAAAACAAAAAGAGAAAGGTAACATGAAACAGACTTTATGACTATCATAGTGTCAAATGAGATTAAGTATTAAGGATATAGAAAGGCAAAACAGACAAAAAGGTGGACAGAATGCTTTTTATTTTTTCCCCTTGTACTTGAGGCATTTTCACTTTTGGATTATAATATTACAACAGCCATCACCAGGAAAGTAGCAAAAGAAGGACAAAGGAGAGAATCGTTAGAGCAACCTACAGAAAGGGGATTACCCTGGAGATGTTGCAGAAAATGTTTGAAGAATCATTCACTGGCATCCTTCAGTCTCAAGAGACTATGGTATCGTGCTCTGGAAAGAGGTCCTAAAACAGCATCTAGTGTGACTAAAAAGGCCAATTTGAGAGTGGCAATCCCTTCCACACTGAGGGCAGATACATTCTGTCCCCTGCCCAGCCCCCAGATTTCGCTGGTTCTGGGACTGCCTCTTTGCCTCAGCCTGCTGAACAAGTGTCTCTTCGAATTGGAGAAGGCCATGCTGCGTCTTTAGCCTCCAAGCTGAACGATCGGAGGTCAAGGTTTCCTAGTTGTTAATGTCCATTCCGAGGGCCTTTAGGTCCCTCTTGCAGATATCCTTATATCACAGCTGTGGTCTCCTTCTGAGGCGCTTTCCCTGCACTAATTCTCCATACAGGAGATCTTTCAGAATCTGACCATCAGCCATTCTTATGACATGCCCCAGCCAGCATAGACGTCACTGTTTCAATAGTGTATACATTCTAGAAATTACAGCACATTCCAAGATTGCACTATGTGGAACTTTGTCCTGCCAGGTGATGCCAAGAATTCATCGGATACAGCGCATATGAAAGGTGTTCAACTTTCTTTCCTGCCGTGCGTAGAGGGTCCAAGACTCACTGCAGTACAAGAGTGTGCTCAGGACGCAGGCTCTATAGACCTGGATCTTTGTATGTTCCAATCAACTTCTTATTAAGCCATACTCTCTTTGTAAGTCTGGAAAATGTGGTGACTGCTTTACCAATACGTTTATTCAGTTCAGTATCTAAAGAGAGAGTGTAAGAGATAGTTGAGCTGAGGTACACAAAGTCATGGACGACCTCTAGTTCTTGTGCAGAGATTGTAGTACAGGGAGGTGAATCCACGTCCTGACACATGACTTTTTTTTTTTTCAGGCTGATTGTTAGTCCAAAGTCTTGGCAGGCCTTGCTAAAACTGTCTATAAATTGTTGAAGGTCTTCAGCAGAGTGAGCAGTGATAATGCTGCCATCACTGTTTGAAGAATATGTCAATAAGATATCTGAATGTTAATTTGGCAATTTGTGAAGAGAGAATGGAAGATTTATAAAGATGAAAATAAAGAAGTAATTAAAAAACTATATTACTCTCCTGAAGTCCCTTCTTCTTTAATTCTATTCTCTGTGAAGTAGAGCGGGGAGAAGTGTCAGGTAGAGAGAGAGAGATGGCCTACAGAAATTGCTTTTCTCTGGAATGCTTTAATAAGCCTTGTTACTTTTCACCCATGTAGCATCTTTCCTGATGTACCATATACATTACATTGCACTCTCCTGTTACCTAATTCCACAGCACCAAAACTGTTGTCAGGAAGACTCACCCAAAAGCAAAAACAAATGATTTAGAGGTAGAAATAACAAAAAAACATACTGTATTGAAAATACAGTCAGTCATAGGGCTCCCTGCTGGCAACAACACTGAAAACAGGTAGATAACAAAGGCAAAACAAAAAAAATATAAACAGGTAAACTGAGAAGGGGTAATATAATCTCTTAGCACCCTTTCCTCTGGAGTGCTTTGATAAGATATTAGATTGACCTACTGTTACTTTTCACACTTGTAGTATCCTTCCTGATGTTATCAACATAGACCAAATATTGGTATTTATGTTGCAGTCCTGTTATCTAATTCTAGATGCTTAAGGGCAAACATCTGGGTTCTGCTAAATGTCTCCATTCTAGAGCCACAGCACTAGGAGTTAGATTATAAATTTACACTCCTGCTACTAAAACACAATTCTATATGCTTAATATGATTCAGAATATCTATTCCATCATCATACTAATAAACTCTTTCATTTTCAAATAAAAATACTTTGAATGGTTCTAATCATATTGGATTTTTTTTTTACAAAAGGTTGCACTCGCAGAATGATTACTCATTATTTTGTGTATAGAAGTGAAAAGGATAGTATCTTGTAATATGAAGACATTAAGAAACAAATTGATAATCCTAATCCCGCTGATAGGTTTCCCTTCCTCCCCGACCTTCCACACATAGCAGAGTTTCAAGCTGTCAGGGCAAACAAAAATTCCTTATCAGTTCATACTGAGATTAAAAGCAGCGTTTTGTAGACTTTCTGTTCTTTAGTTAAGCCAAGTATGTCAATTTCAGTTTGTGATAAAAATTTGGCAAGCTATAGATAAATTGCCATGGCACAAACATACTGACAGTCATGGTGGAAAAACATGAACTAGCAGAGCAAGAGACAATCATTTAAATCTGTATCATGAATTGCCTTTAAACCTACACAGAATACTGTTTCTTTATGAAAGCAGCTAAATTTCAACAATATATTGTAGATAGTCCTTGATTTACAACTACAATTGAGTCCAGAATTATGGCCATAATTTGATGGAAGCATTGCATGACCGGATCTGATTTTGTTGAATTTCTTGCAGTGGTCATTAAGTAAACACCCCAGTCGTGAACACTGCAGTCATTAAGCAAATCCATTTTTTCCAACAGGCATTTTTTGTCACAAACTGGAAATAATGTTGGAAATTAGTAAAAAAAAAAGTCATTATAATAGTCACATGATACTGAGATGTTGCAAACAATCGTAAAGGTGAACCAGCCATAAAGGTGAACTGTCATAACTACAAAAACTGTCGTAAGTAATTTTAGGGAAGTCCATTATAACTTTGGTCATTAAACAACCGGTTCCAAGTTAAGGATTAAGTATAGACAACTTGGAAAATTTGATATAAAAAAATGAAGCACAGAAATAAGAATTTGGCCAAAAGGGAGTAACAGTTACAAATATATTTAAATGTATCAAGCCATTGGAAAGTGAAAT